TTGCTATGAGTCGGAATTGACTCAGTGGCAGTGAGTTTTTTGGTTTGGGACTAAACAGAAGCTAGTAAGCAACTTTGATACTGATTTTGTGAAGCATTCATTGTTCAGAAATAATACAATGTGAGTATTTCTTAGAATTGAGACAAATACTGTATTTGAGAAAATTTTTTAAGGGAGAAGTAAAGGTAAAATAGATTTTAAAAGCAAAAAGACATTAGGAAAGAAAAGCATTTGCAGAAGTTAATGAATTTAAAGACTAATAATTCTAGAAGAGTCTCTCAGGAGCCATCTTGTTCTTCTACATTCCTTTAATGTTAATATTCTGATGTGCTATTTAAATTCAAATCTATTTTCTTAAAAACAATTTTCATTATTTCCTGGGTACATATTTGATAACAGGGAACACAGATTCAAAATAGTTTCACTAAAGGTAGGGCTCGGGACTGTTACTGACAGATGTGTATGAAGCAGTAGGACAGAATTTCACTGAAAATCAGAGAACAGAGTTTATAGAGGATTAGACCTCTAAGAACCCAGAACTAGCATGTCTTTCTGGAGCTAAGGCAGCCTTAGAAACCTTAGCAGCTGAAGTGTGGCTCTTTATTCTAGTGTTCTAGCATTAAAATAACCAAGTATCTTGAACTGTTAACTCTGGTTAATAGGCTGATTCATCCTTTACTTTACGTATTTTTATCTACTTCATGGTTTATGCTTACTAGTGACTTTTACTTATACACAATTCTGGCTCACCCAGTGTCCTTTCAAAACATGGATGCTATGTCCTCTACCTGCCTCGTGACCACTCATCATCTTCTCCGCTCACTTCTAAGTGCCTTGTTTTTGTAGTATTCCCCAGTTCAAGTTAGTTTTAATCCACTTCATAACTATTTGGGTAATCTTTAGATAGAAGGCCTTTTTATCAAGTTCTCCTTTTACATCAGGCAGGAGGAAGGATTGCTTAATAAGAAACTTGGTCACGGGTGAAACTTTTAGCCATAGATATTGCCAGAAATATGTTCTTTAGATGGCACTATCTCTAATCATTACCAAAACCCTGTACACTGAGTAGTTTATATATTTCAACTCCCCAATTTCTATCTCCGTCTCAGACATTTCTGTTGAGCCTACACACCAGTGCCTTCATTTACAACCCTATTAAGATGTCTCATAGTAACTTAATTCAACATGTCCATAACTGAAGTCATGTTCTTCATCCTTCACCTGCTCCCGGAGCTGCTATTTCACTTAGTCCGAATCCTGGTACTCATCCCTAATACCTTTTTCTTTTTTGTTTGTAAACTCTAAATGCATTTCTGTTATTAAAGATAGTATGCTAACTGAAAGATTGATGGTTTGAAGTGCCTGGGAAGAAAGGCCTAGTGATCTACTACCAAAAGATCACAGCTATTGAAAATCCTGTGGAGTGCAATTCTGCTCAGAAACACATGGGGTTGCCATGAGTTGGAATTGGTTTATGAGCCTTGAAACATCTGTGTCAGTTAATTGGGCCTTTTTAAAGTTTTGATTGTGAACTGTGATCTCATTTGCTGTAAGTGTGCACTCTAGTAAGTGGTGAGGTTAGTTTTCTGATGTACAATTGGAATGTACTGATGTTAGATTGTTTTTACAATTTTAGGCTGCAAAGGAACAAACTCAGGATTTAATAATAAAAACTACTAAGCTTCAAGCCGAAAGGTAAGTTTTCTTTATAAAGTTACCTCTTGATTAATCTGCGGATTGAGTGGAAAGAAAATTATAGATAACTCCAGATCAAAGTTAAAATAGTAAAAAAAAAAAAAAAATGAAACAGTACATTCAAAACTATGAAATAAACATAAGAACAGTAGTTGAGGAGCACTAACATGATTTTGGGTTGGAGGGTTTATTCCCTTTTTGGAATAGAGCTGGTGATGTCTGTTTTTTGTGGGGTGCTTGAACAATTTCTCTTAGGAAGATCAGCGTGAGGCCGGTCCCCAGGAGGCGGTCAAAGATGTCCCAAATGTCCAAACTACCATGCCACTCCATCATTTCAGACATTAACTCCTCCTCCTCCTCCTCCCAGTAACTTCCCCAGTCTTAGGGTTCTGTATTTCGCTGTAACGCCTCACAGAA